TGCATGAATGCGGCTTCACTCCAGTGTGAGTTCGTTCATGTTGCTTGCAATGGGATGAGTTGTTAAAGCACTTTTTACAATGCGTGCATGAATGCGGCTTCACTTCAGTGTGAGTTCGTTCATGTTGCTTGCAATGGGATGAGTTGTTAAAGCACTTTTTAGAATGCGTGCAGGAATGCGGCTTCACTCCAGTTTGAGTTCGCTCATGTTGCTTGCAATGTGATGAGTTGTTAAAGCACTTTTTACAATGGGTGCATGTTACTTGCAACTTGCTAATTGGCTAAAGCCGTTATTACAATGCTTGCATAAATACGTCTTCTCTCCAGTGTGAGTTCGTTCATGTTGGTTGCAATGTGACGACCGGCTAAAGCACTTTTCACAAAACTTGCATGTATACGGTTTCTCTCCTGTGTGAGTTCGTTCATGTGTCTTGCAATCTGATGACCGACTAAAGCACTTTTTACAATGCTGGCATGAATACGGCTTCACTACTGTGGGAGTTAGTTCGTGGTCCTTTAAGCCGATAAATGGTCAAACAACTGGCCACAATATTTGCATTCGTGTGCCTTTTTTCGGATCTTTGTTGCCATATTAATGACAGCAGGTTTTGATTGGCTGAAATTCTATGCCGCCCTACGTCCAGCTTGTTTCTTTGCTAATCCAGACAGTCGACTTGATTCCCTTTCAAAGCACGTTGTCAGCTTTTCCATCAAGACTGATGTCTCTACCGTATATTCCTAACGAAATGATCAAACTAGTCAGACAATTTCAGATAGTGCAGAGTTTAATGTTTAGCTCAGGCATAGTAGTCACACAGGTCCTCATCCCTACCCGGCTCACTCATGGTTCGTATTTACCTTGGTACCAAGAGCTTTTCCCCTTGCAGAATACGTACGGACAGACACCTTGATAAGACACAATCAACAATATCTTAAAATTATTGTTTGCAAAGACAGCTTCCAAATTTTGCTCTGGTATTTGCGTCGATTTTGGTTCATTTCGAATTTAGTAATACGTTGAAGTAGCAAAGGTGACAATTTTACTTTTCAGTCCAACGTCTGTATTTTCATATTTTCGTTTTCCTCGCAAAGGTATGTAACATGAAGCGCTTATTTTCTCAAAAACACATGGAACATGTGCTTTTCTTTAACTGCTGGAGATAAATGGAGGAAAGTCAAATATCTTATAACGGAATGGAAGAGGAACGAAGATTATATGCTACATCGGTGAACGAGACCCTTCAGAGAGTGATTAAATTAAATTGCGCTTTCATTACGTGCCACAGAGTCTGCAGCAATATTTGAACACTTTCCTAGTTTGTTTTGTCACAAATTTACAGTTTGACAAGTTTTAATGCCACTAAACCAGGAAAGTTTCGGTTGGGTATGAACTTTTTCGTCTCTTTCACGAAGAAAATTAAAAGAAAAATAAGCAAACTGCTAGGGAGAAGTAAAACGTTTCCATTCTTAATTTGAATCCTGGCAAACACACAAGTGTAGTTTGATAACAGCAGATGATATTTGTTGAACCGAGCTGGGGGTAATTCTGAAAGATACGCCGTCACAGTAGCGTTCTTTGCACTAAAAAGGGAGAGGTGACGTTACCCGAAAAATCACTGCTGTCCTCGGTCATATCACATAACCTGTAAAAACCCACGTGGCTTTGGGGATTAAAACAGAGGGTATCAAGCTAACGACGCTAGAGCGTATGCGTCTTACATGTTGGGTTCTACCACAACACGTTTGTGTCATGTGATCTCGAATGAAATCTAATATATAGTAGACACGCTAACTAATCTGCGCATGCATTTACAAAAATGGTTTTGTTCTAAAGAAAATAGAACCACCAGGAAAGCGAGAGGTTTTCTAAAACAAATATACAGCTTTACTACAGAGCAAGCCAGGCATTACACGTTTTTATAAAGTGCACACAGGCACCTACCAATCCTTAACCATTTAATTGCCTCAAGACTAATTAATTAATTAGTTGATATGAAATAATTAAACATCACAAATTACACCTTAGTGCGTTATTCCCTTAGTTATTTAGCGGACGTCAGCCCCACAAACCATCCTAGTATGTAGTTCACTCTGCACTAACAATTATCATATTAGGCTTTGTTACTTGCCGGGGAGCCCAGGGTGAGCCCGTATCACATGTTGATTAATGAACATGTTTTCGGAGGCGTTCCTAGGCATTTTTCCTGAATGGTCTTTAGTATCATTCTTAGAGTGCCTCAATCAATCAATCAATCAATCAATCAATCAATCAATCAATCAATCAATCAATCAATCAATCAATCAATCAATCAATCAATCAACTTTATTTAGAGAGGGTGACACATGACAGTATTTAACAAATAAAGAAGCCTCGACTGTGCTCTGTTCTGTTGTAAAGCACCTAGGAAGCGGTAGAGCACGAAAGAAGTGTAGGGGAAAACACGAGACGTAGTTGAGTGTTTTTTCCCTACTTCTTGAGCGGCTTAGAATGCAATTCCTGTCAGCACCCATAGCGCCTCATGTGAATCAGTCATGCAGAGAAATGACAAGGCTAATTTTCGAAGTAAACTTAGGATAAGGGACTGGCCAAAAAGTAAGAGGAGTGGACCAAAGCACTTGAAAATGTGGTATGTAAAGATACAAAAGAGGACTGAGAGTTTTTTTGTTTTTATACAATAACAAAAACGGCTTGATGATCTTGAAGCGTACAAAATTAAAATTAAATGTCTGGCCAACTGTTCCAGTGGTTCAAGACTTTGAATATTTGTCATAAAATAGGATGACCCACCCCCATGAGTAGCTGAAAATTGAACAACCCACGCCGTACCAACGGCTAAAAAACTGATGACCCACCCCCTCTCTACTCCGGCGCAATCCCCCCTCCTCTCCCAAGACTTTTTGACCAGTCCCGGAACACATAGAAGATAATTATTCTGCGCAGCGCTTTGAAAATGCCTTCCAAAGAGATCTCTCTCGATTCAAATGATGCGGCAGTTCCGGAGAAGCAGCTTTTATCGCCGTGGACCTGCAAACCTTGGAAAATATTACACAGAACTTTGAAAATAAATATTCAAAAGTCTGCAACGGGATTTTTCGGAGCGAAAGTTCTATAAAAAAAACGAGAAACAAATGTTTTAGCTGTCCGGCGCTTTGAAATGTCTTTAGAAAGAGATGCTTTTCGCTTCAACCCGGTGAGTACTTTCTTTCGAGTAGATTTGAAATACGAGTCCTTGCGATCGTGGCGCTTCGTGTTTTAAAAATGACACGACTTTCATTTTAACTTCGGAGAAGAACCTAGAAGATAATTTTTCTGCCCAGCGCTTTAAAAATGATTTCCGATGCTAACAGTGCGGTAGTTTAAAAAAAAAAAACTAACTCATCTTTTTCTCTTAACCCGCTCAGTAGATTTTCAATTTGGGATTTAGGTGGACGCGACCCGTTGGGCATTGGCTGCGCGATCATGTGACCGCGACTAAAAATAACTAACAACATGACGCGAAGTTTAAAATACATTGAAAAAGATTATCATGGGGCACGGGGATGTTTTCTCTCAGGATCATAATCTCTTCTGGAAAGCTAATCATCTGTTCTTTTTGGCGCTAAACTCGTGAATCACAGCTTCTTCAGGGCAGTTTTAGGTCTCGTAGGGTGACTTGTGTTCGAATAATGCTCTTGTAAATATGCCTTTCAACAAGTCTAGTCTAAGTCTAGACTAAGAAATAGATGGATCAGGCATCTCCATAAATGACTGATAAATAATAGTAATAGGACTGAGTCCAACTAGGTCTGTGATCATACGAGTGATTAACAAAATCGTACGACCGCGAAGCGGGGCTCCGATTTGTTAATCACAAGTATGATTACAGACTGAATTGGACGACACAATGTCCTGTTACCAATTAATCATAACCATTACAACTTCCCACAATTTGAAAAATAGCTTTTAATAGTCATTTTTAAAAATCATAATTAAGAATTTGGGAATAGCTTGCAAAATGGCTGTCAAGTTTCTTTCAAAACAGTCACCGGAAACTAAACCTTCACAATTTTACAAAGTCAGTCTCTTGAATTGGTTACTATAGTGGCTGTAATCAATGTTGTCATTGGTGGATTTAGTGGAGAGGACTTAAAATGATTGGCTCATGTAATTGTCCGATTACAGGTGTCCGATTACAGCTTTGCAGATTAATTAGAGCAAAATACAGCAGTTTATGCACCAATCACATTTGAGGAAATTGTAATTGTTATGATGATTATATTTATAACACCACCGATTCTAAGACACTGTGCTTAAAAGTTGAGAACCAAAGGCCTGATTTCAAAAGAAAACGTTTTTGATGTGGGTTGCATGGTGGTCTAATGGTAAGTGAGCTGGACTATGGATCAAGCAGTCTGGGTTCTAGCCCAGGCTGAAATCATTGTGTTATATGTTTGAGCAAAACAGTTTCCTTTCAATCTCACAGTGCCTTTCTTTATCCAAGTGTAAAAGTGAGAACGAGAAATTACCAGGCCTAGGTCACCCAACTTTTAGGCTTATCACTAATCAACTGGTCATAGTACGACAATAACAGCTCAAGACTGTAGAACTCAAAGATGTGATAATGAATTTATTTTCGTAAATGGCTCATAAAAGGCTAAGTCTGTATGTGATCCAAGTGGCCCATCAGGCCGATGCTTATTCCGGTTTCTGATTTGTAGCATGAAGCGACTAGGAGTATTTCTACTCCCCGCTGGATGGGATGCTAGTCCATTGCAGGGCTACCCCTCATAAAGGTCACCGGTACCTATTTATACACCTGGGTGGAGAGAGGCACTGTGAGAGTAAAGCATCTTGCCCAAGAACACAACTCAATGCTCGAACCCAGCTCGAACCCGGCTAGAACCCAGACCGCTCGATAGGGAGACGAGCGTACTAACCATGAGGCCATCGCGCCTCTCAAATGCCTCATGGTCGTATCAAATCGATCAATACATAGCCATAGATCTTTATAATACGATGCCTAATCCAGACAAATACGATGAGACTGACCCAGACTTACTTGCTTACCGTTCCATAGTCTGATTATTTTACAATTTCTAAGATGAATGATATTTTAAATAATGCTGGGCCTAAAGCTCTCTCATTATGCTAAACTTTGACATAAAAATTGTTCCAAAGAACATGTCTCTATTAGATGATATGTTGCACTCTCTAGACAAAAAGTCAGATATTCTTGCACTCAAAGAAACAAAACTAAATCCAAACTCTACAACCAATATAGACCTCCCCAAATATAATGAGGGTCGTATAGGGGTATTCTCTTGATGCGTGATTAGCTGATTTTATTTTCCGTGAAACGTGAATTTAGGAAATTATTCTTCGTGACTCGTGACCTGAAGGTTTTGCGTGACCTGTGAAGAACCTGAATTAACCGATATTCGTGATTTTGCCACTCTATTCTACGTGATTTTCACACGCGAGCCCTCCGAATGGTTAGAGTCGATTATCGAGAGTCACTTAGGTATGCGATTTGCAATATGGAACCTTGACTTAGCCTTGACTTGGCCTTGACTTAGCCTAGACCTTGCTTTCTTTAAACACTGCTTCTAGTGTCAGAACAGGTCATTAAAAAGAGTATCTTATTTGCTTATTTTCGTGATTCGGGAAAACGAAATTTTCATATCCGTGATCCGTGATCCTCTATTTTTCCGTTCGTAAAACGTGCCAGAGACCCCCACCCCCACCCCCACCCCCCCTGTACGACCCTCTATAATTTTCATCACACTGGCTCATCCTGCTGCTATTTACAAGAGCATTCTAAAAACAATAGCCAGACCTGCAGATATAACACTTGACATTTACCTAGTTGAAACCTGCTGGGCTCAACTTGATCGATGTAATGGGTAAAAGATATTCTAATTGGTTGTATCTATTGACACTTAACTTGAATTTAAAGTGCAACTCGAAGAAATCATCAATAGGAAGCGAGAAAATATGAAATAGGTATCCTTGGTGATATGAATATCGATTTTCTGAGATGCACCAGTCACCAACAGACTGAAGATTACTAAGACTCGTTTTATTCAGTTTTCTGCCTGTGATTACCAAACCCACGAGAATTACTACTCATACTGCAACACTCATTGACCACATATATACTAACACGTCTGCCCAAAATATTTCTAGTATTGGTCTGATTGACATCCCAGATCACTTCCAACCATATTCTGCTTCTTAAACGCAGTTGTCCGTCTCGTAAACGGTCGATGCAATTTTCGCGACACTTAGAAATATTTTTTAACAATCAGCGAATTTTTGTCTACTAAATTAAAGAAAAAAGAAAATTTGTAAGTTACCACCCAGTATTGAACCGTTTGCTTCCTGACATGTCTCTTATACCACTACACTACCAGGTTGATCCGCCAAATCTCCGCAAAATTTAATTATAAAACCTGACTTTCTTAATTTAATAATAGAGTTGCCCCAACCATCAAACAAAAGCTAATCGCAAGCAAACCAGTGTGAATGTGAACAACTAAGCATTTGGTGAATGCGTTTTACTCCATCAACAAATTATAACCAGTTTCTACCTTGTCCAGGTCTAAACTAAAGCAAATATAGCATCGTCCATTCTGAAAGGCTTGGTTACCAATGATGGCATCGATAGTTAAAAATGGCATCGACTGTTTACGAGACGGAAATCAGCTTCGTGGGCGTGTCAGTAAATAATCCTAAAAATAAAACTCAATCAAGGATTATAGTCACTTTAACCAAGAATTATATAAGCAAGAAATTAGTGTAATCGACTGGAATGCTATTATAAATGGGAACACTGATATCAATGATCTGACAAGCTACATAACTGGAGCTACAAGAGCTGTAGTTGACAAACATGTGCCAATAAAAAACAGCATCAAGAAATAAGCAAAAGCAGCTAAGAAAGCCATGAATATCAAATGCTATACTCAAATCAATGCAAGCTAAACAAATAATGTATAACACACACTTCTTCTCAGCTGACCCAGCTAAAATATCTGAATATAAAACTCAATCAGATAAAAGCAACCAGCAAAAAATCCTACTTCAGTACAGATTTTGACTTGTGCAAAAAAATCCTCATGCCACCTGGAAGTTAATTGGTGCTTTAATAAAACATAAGCCAACAGGCTGTATTACCCCGTCAAGAGTAGTAAGGAATCAGTATAGCTGATTTCTGTGAGCAGTTCAACCAGTATTTTGCTAATGTAGATCGACATCTGACAATAGCGCCATACCGAAACCAATGCAACCTCAATGCAATAGATAAAGAAAAGCCCTTCATTTAGTTTTATAATGTCTCCAATCACAGAAGATCAAGCTCTATAGGTCAAAAATATCAACTACATCTGGACAATCAGTATTCCAGTTTTGTGCATCAAAAATTTGGGAATCAGTTCCTCTTATCCTAAAAACTTTCAATATATTTCCTTTAAGAAGCTGTATAAGCAGCACCTCTTAAATACTTAAAATATAATTAATAATAGTAGTCACTTGTATTTCTGTAATGTATTTTCAGTAATGTGTTCCTGCGTAATGTATTTTTGTTCTCCGCATTCACCTTAACATGGTGGTAACCAGCTTGAGCGCCAATGGCTATTCTGGTTACCATGCACATACATTTGTTATTTATCCCATAGCTATATGCAACATATATTTCTCTTCTCGTATTTATTTTATAATACTGATGTAATTAATTCTGTAAATAGTGCACAATAAAAATTGATTGTTTGACTGATTGATTGACTGATTGATAACATTGACTCTCTGATTTCTCCTCCCCCCAGTTCAATGTTGTGTAGGTGCCGTGCTCTGCACAGTCTTAGAAACAGAAAATTAACTTTGTTTGCTGGGAGGGGAGGGGGGAGCAATTTTTGCAAGACACTCAAAAATAGAATTTTACTTCTAAGTGTGACGCAGCACGTTTGGTCATTGTAGATCAAACAACATAAATCAGGTATACAGTAACAACTTAGCAATACCTGAGTTATGAGATTTTGGTGATATGCATAATTTCAAAGTAAGTTATTCATAGCAAGCTCACTACAGAGTCACAACTGAAACTAAATGTAGTGCAACAACAACACTCATCACCACTCCACATTATTACTACAATTCGAAGAGTTATTTAAATAGTTTATCTGTCACTTTATTAACCACACATAGTTGTTTTTGTCAGAACGCAAATTATCAGAAAAAAGGGTAACCTGAAAACACTGAAGAATCACAAATTTTGAGGTTTCCAAGTCTTTCATATATAGCAATGGCAAAGGAAATGGCAATGTATAAACAATAGCCTCCATTTGGCGCAAAAATATGCTCGGATATTTGTGCGCGGACATTATTTGTTCCTCGAAGCTCACAGTTTGTGAGCTGTGAGCTTCGAGGAACAGATAATGTCTAAGGACAAATATCCGAGCATATTTTCGCCCAAATTGGAGGCTAGTGTGTTTACACCCAAGAATAAACAAACTGCCATTACATGCAAATAACCCATGTTGCTTGCAATTTCCTAATTGGCTAAAGCACTTTTTACAATATTTGCATGTATACGGCTTCTCTCCTGTATGAGTTCTTTCATGTCGCTTGCAAGTTGATGACTGAATAAAGCTCTTTTTACAATGCTTGCATGTATACGGCTTCACTCCCGTGTGAGTTCGTTCAGGTTGCTTGCAATCTGATGACTGGTTAAAGCACTTTTTACAATACTTGCAGGTATACGGCTTCTCTCCTGTGTGAGTTCGTTCGTGTCGCTTGCAAGTTGAGGACTGAATAAAGCTCTTTTTACAATGCTTGCATGTATACGGCTTCACTCCTATGTGAGTTCGTTCGTGTCGCTTGCAAGTTAATGATCGGCTAAAGCACTTTTTACAATACTTGCATGTATACGGCTTCTCTCCTGTGTGAGTTTGTTCATGTTTTTTTGTAAACTAATAACTGGCCAAAGAACTGGCCACAATGGTTGCATTTGTGTGTGTGCCATCCCTTGTGTCTCCGTTGACTTCGTTGGCATATTCATCAAAGCAGGTTTGATAGGCTTAAATTTGATGCGGCTTTATGTCGAATTTCTTCCCTAACTAACCCAGCTTGATTCTCTTGATGTGCGACTTGATTCTCTTTCAAGGCATCTTGTTCAACTGTGCTGCCAAGATAGATGTCTCTACCGTATATTTCTAACGAAAATGAAAAAGAAAATATCATATTAGGTTGTGTTACTAACTGGGCAACAAGGGCGTACCCATTTCATAATTTGACTAATGACCATGTTGGCAAGGGCGTTGCTAGTAAGCCTTCATGGTCGTGAGTGTCTAAGGGCCCTAACTGGGCGGGGCACGTGTTATTCAAGCTAAGGTAATTTCGCTTTTTTTTTTCGCCAAATTAAAAACAAAACTGACCTGTATGAGAGAACCTTTTTGAGAAGAACTCTGAACTAAAAGAAAATCGAAAGCTAGTGAGTTGTGATTATGCAATTCTTTGGTTGTTATGGCCATAAACAAGTCTACACTAAGAACGGCTGAGTTCCCTACGTATTAAAGAAATAAATGAATCAAGCATTGTGATAAATGACTGATGATTACACTTATAACACCACACATTCAAAGACGCTGCTCAAGCTTTGAGAACCAAAGTCCTAATATCCTGTTCAAATTATTTACTTAATGAATCAGTTTATTGCTATCTATGCTATATCTTGGTTGAACAATACAGTAGGTTATAGTTTTCCTCTTCACCTCTTGCTATATTTCACAAAAAATTTACTTGCACTAATTTTCTTTCAACACTTTTTTAAATGTGGCAGTTGTGGTGGTCTAATGGTAGGTGTGCTGGATTCTGGATCCAGCAGTCTGGGTTCCAGCCTGGCTGAGATCATTGTGTCACGTGTTTTGGCAGAACAGTTTCCTCTCAGACTCACAGCACATTTCTTTATCCACGTGTAGACAGGGCTAGCCCACCCAATTTTTAGGCTTGACACTGATCAACTGGTCATAGTATTACAATAACAGCTCACGACTGCAGAACTCAAACGAAGGATGGAAAAGCCAAAACGGGGCATGGATGGGAAAACCTGAAGCTTAATTTGGACTGTATGTGGGTAAACGTCTAAAACAATAGCCCAACTTCTTTGGAAGTTAAACTCAATTGCATGTAATATTCACAACATCCAGAGTCAGTCTTGTTTTTTTTATGTGAAGGTAGTTCAGTTGATTCAATCATCTGAAATGCTATGATCTACATGTAGCCACTTAAAATGATGGATTTTATCATGGCAATGGACAAGAATGTCATCCATAGGGGAGTAGATTAGAAATACACCTAGTTGCCACAAGCAAAGGAAGTGGAATATGTGTGCTTGCCTGCTTAGTCACCAGGCTTGAAAATAGACTTGATTTTTTACCTTTGTTTTAAATGGTCACAATAAATAATTTCTAACTATTTATTTATTATGAACTTGCAGCTAAT